TTTGTATCTCTCTCTCCCTCGTGGCAGTTGTTACGGGTGCGCATCGAAAACAACGCCTGTCGTTCCCTGATCTGGCCTAGCGCATCGACCGCGTGTCTAGTTGTAGGGTGTAGTCCTGCTACGTATTATTTACACCCACAGCTGTTTATATCATTTGACCCTTACGATAAAGAGAAGGGGGAGCCCTAACAGTCTTTCCCCTCACTCACAGAAAAGTACCCTTTCTCGGTTTTCATGCCTTTTGCACAAAAATTCACCCATTATCTTCATAGCATTACATGCGCATAGATGCACTCTGGGTGGGGCGTTGTCGGTCAAGTTCGGGTTTCTGGAACTGGAGGTGATTTACGTCCTTGCACTGTTGCCTCTTCGGTGAATCTCGTAATGAGTTCAGTCTCTCACACTATGTACCTTTTTTTCAGACTGCAGTCTTCTGGAGACAACCCGGATCTCGCTGGCAAGTCTTTTTTTATTTCTTTGTAACTTCTCTTCTTAGCTAGGAAGTAATACTGACAAATAGGAGGGACACTGTGATTCTGACCTGTTAGCCGTCGTCAGTTAGCCAACCACTAGTCTCTAGAACCAGGGTTCTTCGATGATGGAAAGTTAAGTAGTCACACGCTCTAGAGTTGGGCCACAGACCCATTGTCCTATTTCTCGGTTTTGGTCGGCATATCAACTATGGCGGTGTGGGACTGGCTGATGACATCCAATAATTTAGGATTAACCATCGCATTCTCCCCTGTCTTTGTTTGTATAACTTTTTTGCGTATGTCCCTGAAAGTTATACGATTGCCTGCGAGGGCCTTAGGTTTATTCCCAGGGCGCAACGGGAAGAAAATGTTCGTGGCTCAGAGCAGCAAACGCCCTTCCACATTAGTTATTGCTAATAATACAGAAAATTATCTACTGCATTAAATGCCAACTAAAGTTCTTAAATGTGCTTGCCATTCCAAAATATTATAATATTGATCAGCGTACGACTTAACCTCAACATATTTCATTCACCTCAGGGTGCCGGTTTTTCGAACGAGCTTCCTTTTGACAACCAGTGACAGTAGATTCTGTAAATAATGGCTATTTGAGTAGCATGCCTTTTTCTCGTTGATTTTCACTGCTCCAATAAATTCCAAAAATATGTTATAGAAAAATGCACAAAAATATTCTTTTTTGTACTTTTTTAGTAGAAAATTACGGTTTGTTCAATTTTTATATCTGGAGAAGGGTTGTTTTTTGGTTTTAAAAAAGTTTCTAAATTGCCGAATAAGTTCGAACCCTGCCGGCCGTTACACTTGGATTCAAAGTCTCCAAAACATATGCTGTATACATTCTGCCTTAGGATAACGAAATATCTCTCTTCAGTGTGAGGAAAAAGGTTATATAGTTCGCATACAATTTTGCTATGGATGTGGACCAAATTGCATACTATATAAGCAGCATTAACAAATAGACAGATATGTTGCTTTACGAATGCATATTTACTGGTCATC